AGCCAGAAGTTAGTAACATGACGAAAACGGAAGTCGCGACCAAGCTACAGTTATCTTATTATCACAACAACTAACTAAAAGACTAAAAACCACTAACGATGGCAGAAGAAAGTTGTAAGCCTTCTTTATGGGCATTGGTAAACAAATCACGACAACACTTTCCAATTTCTCCCATAAGAGCATCAGCCGCTATTGCACTCTGTTGAGCATGCTTCTGTGCACCCTCAGGAGAAATCTACAAACGCAGGATTTAGGAAACGAAGCAAACACGTCGAAAAACGAACTGAGATATAATCTCAGGCGTAGAAAATGACACTAACCTCCTTGATCATAAGCATAAGGTCAAATAAAGTCGCTCTCATATTCCACATATTCATAACTGCTAACAGCTTATCAATTAGTGCCTTTTTCGAGTTCCCATTACACACAGACAATTCCCTAACAACTTCGCGTTCGCTTCGTCGACGAATACCAAGTCGCAATAATTGTTGACCCTGTGGAGTTAGGAAATAGAAGGAAAGAGCCTCAAAAAAAGTAACTCACGAGACAATTCTGCTTTAAGCGGTCATGATTGAACGCTTCCATACGATTTGTTTCAACTATTTTAAACATCTTCATCGTGACCCAATCCTCCTCACAGATAATGAGCTGTACAGCTTTCAGCATTATCATCAAATACTCACGCCGATAGCTGGTCGAGTCCACAATCCGGCTGGGTTCAAAGCTTGAAATATAAACAGCACGTCATGCATTAAAAGCGGAAACTTTTGACCGTATAGCAAAAAAAATGGAAGTTCCCCGTTCTGTTCAAACACAGTCCCTTTTGAATAGATTTGTTGTATACTTTTAGCATATGCAAACTTAACACAACACTACAACACTTGCAAAATGGGCTTTTTCTAGAAAGATTGATTTGATTTGAAGAAGTGGCAACGGGGGGTATAAATATTTGCTTATTTATTTATAAGGTGTAAAGACTAAATTTAGAACTTTTCAACACAAATGCTGTATTTCTGACTCAATTACTTACTCTAAGTCCTTGAATCTCGCTCGCAATGTGTCCATTAGAATACAGATATTGCTGAGCATGGGAAACAATACATTATCCATCTCACACCTGAACAATTTTTGAAAGGCAATTCTCACTACGAACAAGTGTACGATAACGATGTATACCAATGAATCATAGACAGCATTATCTCATCCGCACACTTGCCCAACAGCTTGACTTTTGGGGTTCCGCCTACATAGTGCTCAGACACTAAACCGTAATGAAGTTGATGATAAAGCTATACATTTGGGCTATTGAAAGTTCCTCAAGGCTTGTTCTAGCCAAATAAAGCAAAAAGAGGGTTCTAAAGTGCGTTTGGAGAAAAAAATGGTAATTTTCACGTCTTGGAAGAATTCCATACTGAAGGGCAAATACCTCCAATAGTGCCA